CTAGAGGCTACCAGCCATCAGTGAACTCAGTAGCATATGAAAAGGCAGCACTGTGTACTTTTGTAAGCCCCCCCCCCCCCCGGGTCTTCAAATAATTTCTGTTGCTGTATCTTAAACCCATTGCCCATTGATTCTTTCTCATGTCGTCTTCATTTTGCTATTAACCCATCAGGTCAATTTTTTTGTCAGGTATCGTAGTTATCTGTTTCAGAATTTATATTCGATTCACATAAACATGTGTGTGAAAAAATATTTCTCTTTTGGGATTTTCTATTTTTTCATTGCAGGTGTTACTTTTCTTTATGTCATTAAGTACAGTTAAAGTAGTTACTTGAAAGTCTCTGTCTTCTAATTTCAAAATCTCAGTCATCTTAGGTTTATTCTGCATGGATAGTGTTTTATCTTGATAAACAGTCATTGCTCCAGTTCTTTTCATGGCTAGTAATTTTGGATTGTATTCTGAATATTGTGAATATATTCTGGATATTGTCAATGTTGATATTTTAATTTTAGCAGCTAATTAATGTGGTCGGATTTAAACTGCAAACTTTGTCAGGTAGGGAGTTCAAATCTCAGTTCAATTCTTTCCTTAGTTTTACTTTTTTATATTTAGTTTTTGGCATACATGATTCAGTCAGAGGTCCTACAGAAATTTTGGCAGATTTTATACGCAGAATGTGGGGATCCCTAACTCAGACTCTGTTTCTAGTATTCCTCCCTCATATTTCAGCACTATGGTTGCCTCAAACTCTTCCAGTCAGGCTAAAAGTTTTAAAATTGGCATATTCACCCCAGGCTATTTCCTTGTTTTAAGTCTTGACTCTCCCTTCAGAATCTGCCTAGTTTTGTTCACTCTTCGGGGCTTCAGGTAATTGACTTTTATATTTTGTTTAGAGTTTAAGAGTGTATAGTTGCTGGTCCTCCTGTTAGCTTATTCAGCCATACCTATGGAACTGGAGCTTTTGGGGGGTTTTTTGTTTTGTTTTTTATTATTTCAATCCTTTTAAATTTATTGATTTTATTAGTTTTTATATGTATCATTCTTATTGTCTTTATTTTCTATTTTCCTTGTCATTCCAGAAAACTACATTATGAACATCATAGACAGACTCGTTACTAAACAAAGCACGACTTATGGAAACATTTATAGAGTTATTCTTTATGCTCAATATGCTCTGTATGCTCAATATGCAATAGATGGAAAGATGAACAGATACAGCCCCTGAAATTAATACTTCGTTGTGTATGAGTTGTAATGAATAAATGTATAAAATAAAATCTAAAATATTGTTTTTATTTGTCAGCCGTGTCAAAGTAGGGGAAAGCAAATTATAATTGCTATGTCTGACAGAGAGTAGAGTCCATTTCAAGTACTTAAAATGTCTGAACTAGGCCTCTTAAAAATCCACTGCTTTCAGAATGCTGAAAAAGGATATTTCTGCTTAGCATAATAAAGCATGCAAGTTTCAAGCTAGGTTTTATAAAAGCTTATATAGCGTTGCCATCAGTTCTAAGAAAAAGCTTTCATGCATGTGTCAGTTAATAGACTGAGTTGGAGTAAGGGCTTGCCCCTCTGGAATAGCTGTGAATAGAGTACTGCGTGGTGTGGTATTGATGCTGACCGTACACTTTCAACTTCTAGGGCAAGAGAGATCTACCATTTGTAAAACTCCATCTAATGAAGTGATTTCCATTAGTCGATCAATTTCTCCTCTGTAAAAGAATTATTTTTAATACTTCCAATGGCGTAGCATTGAACATATGAGTTGTTTAGTCTTCAAACCTTAATGTGTGTTTTATTCTCTTAAGCTATGTATCTGAACTTGTAAAGTGTGAAACTTAAACACCATTGAACATGGAATCAAGGTACCTGATTCACCAGCTTTGAGATTTAATGTCTGCCCTGCTGGGTTTTGGACTTGTTTGGGACCTGCTACCCCTTTCTTTTGGCCTATTTCTCCCTTT